CCCCCCCAAACTTTCCTGCCACTGACGTGACCTGAACCCCCATTTCTGCCTCCGCGGGACCCTCCGAGCCCAGACCCCCCCCAAATCCACCACCAGAACGGGCTCCTTCACCCCAGATCCCACCTCCCTCTCGTGGTCCCAGCCCCAGCGTTTCGGGGTCCCCTTTGCGAATGGGTGGAAATGAGCAGCACCCGTGGAGGGGGCACCCAAAAATCTGGGTCCTTGGGTGGGCACCTCCGGGCGTGCACCCGTCCTCACACACGCGTGTGCACGGGGTGATGCGGGGGGTCCCTGCCCCATAGCGGGGGGCTCGTCCCCCCTCGGCTGCCGGGACCCAGGTGTGGTTTGGGGCTGGGGTGCAGCAGCAAGACTGGGCTTGCCCTGAGTTTTAACGCCTGTAATTAGCGTCAGGGGCAGGATCCGCCCAAAGCTTGCCTCTTCATATTTTCACACGCACACCCCTGCACCCTTCCCGGGGTGCTGCCCTCCCCTCTTGGAGCCCCCAAATCCCACCTGACCCGCAGCATCCCCCCCACAGCCCCATCCTTCCCTTTCGGCCGCTTCCCCCCTCCGTGACTCCTCGTGGGGGTGAAGCATCCCCAAACCCGGCACAGTTTGGGGAGGGTGTTGCTTTTATTTTTTTGGGGGAAAACACCCCGGGATCAGGCGTGGGGTGGCCCCCCGGGTGCTGGCGAACCCCCGGGCAGGGGAAACCGGGGTGAGATGGGATGGTGGGGAGGGATGCACCCATTTTTAGGGGGTTGGGGTGGCTGGTTTGGCTTCCCGGCACACCTCTGCCCTTTAGAGGGTGCTCTGCATTTACCATCCCCTGGCCGATGCACCCAAAGGATTGCGTGATGGCAGGCATGGGATGGATGGACGGATGGATGGGGGGATGGACGGATGCAGGGACATCCCACGGGGTGCGGCGCCCTCGGTTCCCACCTCCATCGCCCCACATCTGCCTTTCCCCTCGGCTCATCCTTGGGGTGACCCCAGCAATTTGGGGAGGGGGTGATGCTGCAGCAAAGCCGCTTTCCCTCTGCACCTGGAGGCCGTTGGGTCCAAAATCCCCCCCCCCGATCCCGATTGCTTTAACCCCGCTGGTCTGGCAGTGGCTCCCAAATCCATGCTCAATCCTCTGCCGAGCCTGAGCTCTAATTTTGCTGAAGGGAGAGATGCTCTCCCACCCATTTTGCCAGTTTTCTTCCCCAAAACACTCCTTTTCTGATTGCTTCATGTAAAAGCCAGAGAGTTTTACAGCCTCATTTCCACCCCCCCAGCTTGTGAGAAATGAGGGGACCTCTGTGTGGGGAAAAATCCTCTCCATCCTCCTGCCAAATCCACAGGAGTTTGGAGAAACTTTTCTCTTTCCAGGAGGCTCTGAGGCTTCAAACCCATTTTTCCCTCACCCTTTTTTCACTAAAAATGAATGTTCTGGCCCCAGGTGATGCTGTCGGGGTGAGGGAATGGGCTGGGGGAGATGCTCTGTCCTGCCAGTGCTCCTGAAGCCACATAAATGTGCGATTCCCCACCCTCGGCCCCATGGCAGGTGTATTCAGCACGACCCTTTCCCCTCTAAATTTGCCCCATTTTGGGGTCCTTGTTTGCTCTCCGCACGGACAAAGGATGCTCGGTGCCGAGTTTCCTCCAACGTAGGAAAAACCAGGGGGAAATAGGTGTCCAGCAGGTCTTTGTTCCCATGGGATGGGGTTGTACGGCTCTGCCCTGGCCTTGCTGGGGCTGCTGAGATGCCGTGGGATCCCCCCGAGGCTCAGCCCAGCCCCTGCTTGGGGTAAATCCCCACCCTGTACCCCTCGGAGCAGGTCCTCATCTCCCCAGGGGCATCCTGCGGGGGCTGCCCTGCTTCCCGCTCCCAGTCCAAGCGGCTACATCCATCATTATCCCTACCACTCATTTCATGGGAGACCTGGCTCTGTTTTTCCCACCGTCGAGCCCGGGAGGCAGGGCTGGGACGAGCTTTTCCCTGCGGTGGGGAAAGATGCTGGGTCGACTTCCCGGATGGCAGGGGACAGCGGGAGAGGTGACACCCAACAGCGGTGCCAGCGCTGCATCAGGCGAAAGCATTTAATGGCATCGCCGTAATAACAGGAATTATTGCTGTTATTAATCCTACTTGCGGAGGGCTGCAGGTTCCCAGGAGAAGGGGTTGCCTGTAAGCTATGTGTTAGCAGCATCGTTTCTTACGAGGAGGCTCCCGAGCGAGCGCCCGCGGCTCTTTGCTCTCTGCGATTGCAGCTCTGACAGCAGCGGGGGTGCCGCCCGTCTTCTGCAACACGCCGCTTTGATCTCTCTTGGGACCCACCTTGTTATTTCTGCTTTTATGATTCCCAGCTCACATCCCAGCCCTGCAATTTCCCTGGTTCGTAATTGCCAGCTGAGCAGCCAGGAGTCTCCTGCTCCTTTACTGTTCGACGAAGCGGGGTTTTCTCGGTCGAACGCGGTCCCAGCGCAGCTTTAGGCTGAAACCGGGTCCATTTGGGCTCTCTGGTTTTGCTCTGCTTGCCCCTGGTTGAGGTGAAGGGTGCTGCAGCTTGGATGCTTTGACCCCATATCAGTGGTCCCCTTTCCCGTGGGGGTACCTGTGCATATGGATATTCCAGCTATCCGGCTCCAGGCTTGACGCACGGGGTTGTCCCGAGCCTTTTTAACCCCCCAATGAGGACACGTCTCCTCTCCCTACCCTATTCCCGCCGCTCTTCACTGGGAGAGGAGCCGGCCCGGGGCTGCAGCCGCTGACGCACCATCAAAAAGCTCTGCGGGACTCGCTTGCCTGTCCTGCTTTAATTTCTCTCTTTCTCTCCTCTGCTTTGCATGCGAGACCTGGCCCGTGGGGAGAACAAGCAGCGAGGCTGAAGAGCCCAGCATCAGCCTTCGGCGAGGGGCTGCGCTCGCTGCCGTGGGCTTCGATGCCCATTGCTGGCTTTGAGAAGCTTCCCTGGCTCTGAAATACTCCCAGTATAAACTGGTGCTGCAGCTGAGGGACTGTGCTGCTTCCAGCATCGTGATCCCTATGACCCTAATGAGAGATGCTGAGCACCAGCGGTAGGATCAGTCCCAGTTTCTGTCTGGGCACGGCGTCTGGTGCAGAAAGGGTCGCATCCTGCCACAGTTCGTCTCCTGCTAAGGTTCATGGAGCGTGCCTGCTCCTCCATTGAGACTGGAGACGCTCGTGTCCCTGCGCGGGTATCTGCCAGCAGATGAGGGAAGACCCACGGCAGATGACCCAGCTGCCCCAGTGCCGGCGGTGACCGAGCCCGTGGGTCCCTGCCCCACAGCTGCCACCCCACCGAGCCAGGGACCTGCCACGGATGCTCAGGCTGCACCTCTGCCCATCTGCCTGTGCCCAACTCTCCCACCGTGGCCTTGCGGCGCCCCGAAGAAGTCTCGGAAGCTCATTAAAGAAATGCGGCCGTGCGTGTTAGCGGAGCTGCGAAACCTCTTGGGATCAGGTTTCACCTCTGGGCTAGGGTTAGGATGCAAAGAAGTTGGTTATTTATATCTTTCCATGGGAAGAGCCTATTTTCTCTTTCCAGCATCTCATTCAAGCCTGGCCTAGCAAAGCTCTTAGGTGTGCGTGTAAGTCTGGGGGTTTGGCCGCTGTCCTCAAGGAGAGGAGAAACCCCTTGGAAGGTGGATGGGGGTGTGGGCATTGCTGCAGAGCAATGGCATCCATGGCTGCTGAGCTCTTGGACCTGTTCGGTGGCGTGTCCAGGTCCTTAGTGATGGAGCTTTAAACCCTGCAGCAACCCGACGTCAAGATTTTATCTGGATTTCTGAGCTGCAAGCTGGTCTTTAAGAGGAGGACTCGTGTCTCCTGCGTTTGGAAACGTCTAATCTCTACTGTGCACTACGTCAGCTTTGCTACCGTCATGGCTCTTGCAAGGAGAGAGGAGTTGCTGGAATTTGACCTCTCCTCCCAGCCCGCCGTGGGGGAGGCAAAAGAGCAGGCGCTGGCAATTAAAGCCAGGCTGGGTTGTCCTGTGGGCTCTGTCTCCACTCCCCACCCCATGGCTCTGGGAGGAAGGTCACCTCCACGGTGCGCTTTCCACCCCGGGACGCTCATCCCAAGACTTTGCTGTTGCTGCCGGGTGACTCCGTCCCAGAGCTGGGTGGGCGCTGGTGGCCGACGTTGGGTCCCCAGAAAACATCGCCGCCACCGGTGCTTTGCTCCTGGGTGCGTTCACCAGCCTGGCAAGTGCTGGAGCATCCGAGATGCTCAGCCTTGGGATAAAAGATGGATTCAGGAGGGAGTCCCAGTGTCCCAGCGAGGTTTTCCCACCCCACCGTGGTGGGGCAGGACTTCGTGGGTGTAGCAGGGCGCTTTGCTGGCCCAACAGCTGGCTTCTTGGGCAAGCGCCTCGGCCGGCAGCGAGCCAGGAGCCGTGCCAGGAACCGGTGGCGGAGCCACCCTGGGAACTCCCGGCAGCTACGCTCTCCGCCTGGGCTCAAACAGGTTCAATCGGTTTCTCGGCAGATTTGCCGGTTGCGTAAGGTCGGGGAGATTCAGGCGCTGCCTCCTTTCCTCCGGCCAGAGCTGGGTTCAAGCCGCTTCCCTTCTCACCCCGACCACGTCCCCACTGCGAGCTGGAAAATCGGGGATCCCAGAGCCCCAGAGCGGGAGAGGGATTCCAGGTGGGACCGGGGCGTGCAGGATGCTTGTTGCCGCAGGGGAGCGTGGGTTTCCCTGTTCCCTGCAACGCAAATCCCCTTGGGCTGAAAATCCTGCAGTTCAACGAATGCCCAATGAGGTTCAGGAGGAAAAATCCTCCCTTCCTGCAGAGACGCACCCGGACCCAGATTTGCATGTTTGCAGAAAAAAAAAGCTGGGGGTGAATAGGCTCAGAGCTGAAACTGGTTCTCCAAACCTCTCCCACGAGCGTCTCCAATAAAAGAGATAATTACAGAGTTGGCTTTTATTGTCACGGCTTCAGCTGCAGCTTGTGGTTTGGGGGGAAGTCTTACGGCTTTTTATTTTTTTTTTAATGGCGGGATAAATGGGGATCCTCAGTCGGAAGGCATCTTCAGACACCTCTGCTCATTAAAATATAAATTAAAAGTGGTTAAGCAATTAAGTCGTATCTTTTTTAAACAATGCGAGCTGGCGGGAGCGGCTTTGCCAAGTGCCACGTGCTGTGGAGGGGGCTCCTGGCTGGAGACCCTGCGAGGATGATCAGGAAATATCCCGGCAGTGCCTGGAAGGCTTCCAGCCTAGGAGGGATGGGGATCTGCCGTCATGGACGTAGGGCAGAGCTCCTCTGGCTGGTAATGGCATCTTGACTGTGTTGAGGTGCGGCAAAGGGTGTGCAACGCAGAAATATCAAGATATTTTGATCTCTGCAAACCCCTCTGTGTCCCTCCAGGCTCAATACACCAGTCAGAGTGATCTAAAGTGACTTTAAAACCTTCTTAAAAGTGTTTCTAAGTCTTCTTCATTGACATAGAACTGATTTTATAGCCCTGCCAAGGACTAATGCTCTCTGATTGTGAAACGGTTTTGGACAACCCAAGTCAAATCTCCTCTGAGCAGAAGGTTGAACCAGAGTGCATTTGAGGGTGTGACTGGGAAACTGCATTTTTGTTGGAATGCAGTGAACCAAGCACCTGCCATCAGGCTCAAAATGAGCGATCTAGCTAAAACAAGGGTCTCCCTTGAGGGTGTAATATGTCAAGGAATTTGCAGTGCTTTGTCATTGCCATAAGAGGCTCAGAAAGGCCCGTGATGAGTTTACAGTTGCAGCTAAGGGAATATGATTTGGAGTTGTTCTTCCAACACCAACAATGCCTTTGTTTTTCTTAGCTCTCGAGGGAGTGTTTTGAGGCAGGTCATGGTGGTGGCAAAGAGAGGAGGGCATCCTTCCAAGCCCTAAAACAATGAATAGAATGAAAAAAAGAAAGATATCTCCACTCCCCTGCCACCCAACCAACTCCCTGAGCACATAAAAAGGGACACTCAGCCACTGCACGCACAGGACTCACCTCCTCTTCTCTCCCAACCTCCTCCTGCGCGCTTGCACCACTTGGCTTTTTTCTCTCTTCACTCTTTGACTGCTGGGCACCCGTCACCATGTCTCGCCAGTCCTGTGCTCTCGGCAAGAGATTCAGCTCCAGCTCCGCTTGCTTCGGAGGGAGGAACAAGGTCACGTTCAGCTCCGCATCCAACGGAGGATGCTGGGCACCTGGCAATGCTGGTGGCTTCGGCAGCAGGAGCCTCTATGGCTTGGGAGGGAGTAAAAGTACGTCTCTGGGAGGGTTCGGTGGAGGTGGTGGTGTCTACAGAGGTTTTGGGGCTGGCGGCCAAGGAGGCTTTGGCTATGGCTGCGGTGCTGGGGCAGGATTTGGTCGTGGCTATGGTGGTGGGGCTGGAGGTGGCTTCAGTGGAGGCTTTGGTGGTGCTTTTGGTGGAGGATTTGGTGGCGGGATGGGAGGCCAAGGCTTTTTCCCTTGCCCACCGGGCGGCATCAGGGAAGTGACCATCAACCAGAGCCTGCTGGTCCCACTCAACCTTGAAATTGACCTTGAGATCCAGAAGGTGCGAACACAAGAGCGGGAGGAGATGAAGAAGCTTAACAACAAATTCGCTTCCTTCATTGACAAGGTGAGAGTGGCTTCAACCCGGGGCTGGGAGGTGGAGGTCTGAGCTCACCACAGCTCATGCTGGTTGCAATTACTGGGAGATACCCATCCAATAATATCCAGGGAGCCAGGCATTGCCCAGACCACCCCAAAGAACCCCTGCAGACAGGGAGATGGTGGCTGGAGAAGTGACTTTCCCAGGGTTATGGAGAAACCCAGGAATAAGAACCTTGGTTCTTAAGACCACAGCCCTGGTGCTAAGCCCTGGGACCAGGTACCTGCATGCAGAGCATCCTCAGAGGAGTCTGTGCTGATGGACTCCGTCCATCTGTGGGCTGAAGAACTTCGTATGTTTTGGCCGGTTTTTAAGGAGAAGATGCCAAAGCTATGAAGTTCACCGTGTTTCTCCTGTTTAAGGACTGTGAGACTGGAGAGGGAAGGTGACCCACCTTTGCCAACTCGTCCTAGAGCTGTGGTCCCACCTGTCCAGTGGGACCCTGGAGTTATTGCTCACTGCAGATGAGAATAGGCAGGAAGGCTAAACTCATTAAATGGCAAAAAGTTAGGGAAACCTGGGGGGGAGGGGGGGGAATCAATAAAAAGATGCTTTTGGGAATAGCCTGACTCTTCTTCTATCCCCCCCTGCACTCATTTAGGTCCGGTTCCTAGAGCAGCAGAACCGAGTCCTGGAGACCAAGTGGAAACTCCTGCAGGAGCAGGGTGGCACATGGACGGGGGGCAGAAATCTCAGCCCCTTTTTTGAAACCTACATCAGCGGGCTGAGGAAGCAGCTGGACGGCCTCTCAAGTGAGAAGCTTCAGCTGGAGTCAGAGCTGAAGAGCTTCCAAGATATGGTGGAAGACTTCAAGATCAAGTACGTTGTTCTCAGCGTAGTCACGGTTGGGCTGTCTGGTGGGGGAAAAAATAGAGATAAAAACTTGCTTTGAGCAGTCAGAAAATGTAAAGAATCATAAGAATTGGCAACATCTCACTTGTTTCAATGATTAGAAAATGTAAAAGGTTTTGGGAAAGTTTTCATCAACTGAGTTTTGACAATAGGCAGTGATTTTTCAAGGTGTTTCTCAATATGTATTGTTGCCTGAGTTATGCTTCTCACTAAAGCAGGATCCTTCACTGTTTGTCTTCCTCGCTTAAGAATCCATGACATTATGATTTAATGAAGTAATTAGATCCGTTGCTAAATCCTACTATAATTTCCTCATGCATTTCCTCATGGATTCCTTCCCATAACATCCTTCATGATTTGAAGCTTAGAGCTTTCTTTGGAAGGATGATGTGGGGTGAAAAAAAAAAAAAAGATTCTTTTCCTGCTATTATTTATTAGATTAATTTGCTCAGTTGGAAAAGCAAGAACAAAGCCTGGATAAATGCTTGCACTGAAGGAGTTGCAAAAATTGGTGGGAAAGCAAGTCTGGGACTCATCAGGATCAACCTGATCCCTTGCTCTACTGAGGCTGCAGGTTGAAAATTGACTTTGTTTCGGAGATCATCTCCACCACTCAACAGTCTGCAGCAATTACCTGCCCTAGTGAGCCGTTGGAAGTGGACCAAGTTGAGGACCTGAAGGTCCTTGGGTCTTGTAGGAGGAGTTGTGAGTGGCCACAGCCACCAGGACTCAGTTTAGGCAGAGGTAGGATCCCTCTTTGCAGGCTTTCTTCAGCAAGGCATTGGAGATGGCAGGAGCCAGGGCTCGTCTAGAAAGGCAAAGTGCTGTTGCTTGTCCATAAATCTCGCTCATGGCAGGTCTATTTTTGCTGCGTTCGTTAGTCTGAGGCCAACGATGTCTAGTTGCCAGCAGCAGCCAGAGCCAAAATAAGCAGACAGATTCAATCTCTCTTGCTATAATCAACAGGTACGAAGAGGAAATAAACAAAAGGACAGCTGCGGAGAACAATTTTGTGCTCCTAAAAAAGGTAAAGTCCTTTTTTTTTTTAAAAGTCCTTTTTTTTTTTTTGTTTTAACATGAAGACACATCTTAGTTCAGAGGATGTCTTGCTTCCATCAGCACTGGTTCATTAGCACCAGACATAAATAAGGACCCCTAGATGTATGCCCCATAGGGAAAAGGAACACCAAAGGGCTCACAGTTACACGTTAGATAAAACGGTGTGTATCAGGCAGAAAGTGTTCACCTCCCATTTCTGCTGCAGGATGTGGATACAGCCTATATGACCAAGGTGGAACTTCAGGCAAAATTAGATTCTCTGGCAGATGAGATTAACTTCTTGAGGTGTCTTTATGAAGCGGTAAGTGGTCCAGCTGCTCTCTGGAGGGGGATGCCAGGATGGAGAAGGGTTGTGATGCTCTAAGGAAATTACGGCAGGGCTAAAGCCAGATCTGGTGTGAATTACAGGAGCTGTCTGAGATGCAGAAGACCGTTTCCGACACCTCTGTCATTGTCTCTATGGACAATAACCGAAACCTGGACCTGGACAGCATCATCGCAGAGGTCAAAGCCCAATACGAGGAGATTGCCAACAGGAGCCGAGTGGAGGCTGAGACTTGGTACCAATGCAAGGTGAGTGTGCCACAGGTTGCTTGTGATCACCGATGTCTGAGGAGGTGGAAGAGTTACTGGTGGTAGCTCTGACCGTGCTGAGACCTGGGATATTGCTGGTACTGATCTAGCCAGACTGGAGTTGGCATGCACATGGTCACCTTGGCTTGGATGGGGTGGTGTGGGGAGCCATTGCGCGGAGTCACTCATGGTGGACCTAACGTGCTCCTCTCACTTCTGCCTACCAGTATGAAGAGCTGCAGATTGCCGCAGGCAAACATGGAGACAGCCTTAAGGACACAAAGATCGAGATCTCCGAGCTCAACCGCGTGATCCAGAGGATACGGGCTGAGATCGAGAGTGTGAAGAAACAGGTAGAGGTTGCGTTTTTTGAGAAATGGGTGCGAGCTCTTGGTCATGCCCTTCAGAGCTTCCCTAAAAACAAATAGTCTGGTAGCAGTCATTGTAAGCGGGGGGGAACCAGCTGTATTTGTGAATAGCTGAGCCCAAGTGACCTGGTGTCGTGGCTCCATCTCCGACGGGCTGCCCCTGCCCCACTCATGACATCCGCGTCTCGCTCTCCAGTGTGTAACTCTGCAGACCTCTATCGTGGATGCCGAGCAGCGCGGGGAGCTGGCCCTCAAGGACGCCAGGGCCAAACTGACTGAGCTGGAGGTAGCCCTGCAGAAGGCGAAGCAGGACCTGGCCCAGCAGCTCCGCGAGTACCAGGAGCTCATGAACGTCAAGCTGGCCCTGGACATCGAGATCGCGACCTACAGGAAGCTGCTGGAGGGAGAGGAGAGCAGGTGGGTGGGGATACAGCAGGAGTCTGACTGCATCCTGCTAAATCAGTGGGAAGAACGTGGCACATCACATCTCCTCTACTAAAATATTAATGGTGTTGCCATTAGCCGTGGACTACAGTCCTGCAGCTGCTGTTATTTATGCCCATGGTCTGATGGACTAAGCCTGGCTTCATGGAGCTGGACCAGTCCAGATGCTCCGGCTGGAGCTGATGCTCTGTCTCTTTTCCTTGCAGGATGTCTGGAGAGTGTCAGAGCACCGTGAGCATCTGTAAGTAGTGTTCCCACAGGACTGATGCTCCGAAACTTCATGGTGGCATCAGAGGTAACCTTGTGCCTTCTGTTCCTCTCTGCAGCTGTGGTGGGAGGCAGCATGAGCTCTGTGGTAGGTGGATACAGCAGCGGACTGTGCCTTGGAGGAGGAGGAGGAGGAATCGGATTCGGTGCTGGAAGTGGGAGAGGCAGCTGTAACACGGGTGGTTCTGGCTTCTGCTACAGCCTAGGAGGGGGCGGATTTGGCTCCGGGGCAGGATTTGGTGCAGGGGGGGGATTTGGCTCCGGAGGGGCAGGATTCTGCCCCGTGGGCGGAGGGTGTAACTCAGTGGTGGTGGGGTCTGGCACCACCCTGAAGAAGAACACCAGCTCTGCGTCTGCCAACCAGAGGGTCTAGGAAAGCAAGCTATCCCCCCCATTCCCAGCACCCAAAGGAGAAAGGAAGAAAATTTCATGATGGCCACCACCACCCCGTCATTGCCAAAGTGACGGCCCTCTATTTCATTTTAAACCACCACCATCCTTCAGAAACTGCGTGGAAAAGTAAAATGTGGCTATATTCGCCAGCTAATGACTGAGATTCTCAACAGTGTTTGAGAACAGCTTGCTTCCCCAGCGTTTCCCTCGAGACACTGCAAAGCTGCTTGTTACCAGGGTACTGAGGACTCATTTGGAAGCATGACCTGCCTGTTCACTGGAAAGCCCCAAACACAGCTGGGATAACGCTATAAAGCAGCGTGGTCCAAGTCAGAGGCATCCTACCAGCCGCGGGTGGAGGGGACTGGTCCCTGTGCTGCTCAGAGAACTGGTGTCCTGTGAAGCCTGCAGAAAGGCTTGACTTCTTTCAAGATCTTGTGCTGGATCCAGATGTGGTGCAATTTTAATCGGTGCTACTCATCAGCCAGGGCTCGAACTCCAAAACAAGAATTTCCTAATGGTGACTAGTCCCAGCTGAAGACATTTCTTACCCCGCTGCGGTTTGGATTTTTTTATTTCTAAGCAAGATACTGGTGGTCTCACTGTGTTCTTTAGAAGCTGTTGTAAAATGTTTAGTTTTGTTCAGGGTTTACCTTTTCATTGTGATCATGAGAACAATTGTGCTTGTTTGCTTAAGCCTTTCTCCTTTGGCATGCGGCATACCCTAATAAACACTAGAGGCAGTAAGCTTGTGTGGTTTTCTCTCTGACCAAAGAGTTTCGTGTTGCGACAGGACTCCTCTTTTGCTGAGATCTGAAAGTGTTACCTGACTTTCTCTTGCCCTTTGAAGTTTACATTTAAAGGAACCAAAGCAAACGTGTAGCCCAGTCTCCCATCCTTCTCATGCTCTCTCTCCAAAAATTTGGATGGTTTATAAGTTTGGCACGAGGGCGAAGGAGGTCTCGCAGGGGGGAGGTGGTTGGGGTGACAAAACTGCTGGGTCAGTGTGATGGTCTGATCTGGCTGAGTCTGTGAAACACATGGGGTTTTCTTGAATGACGGCCATGGGAACGAGCCCACTCCTGGCAGTGTGGCAGGAAAGAAAGAGCCTTGAACGTGGATGCTCCTCTGTCCTTCTGCTGGGTCTCCTGTGGTGACAGAGGCAGTTGGTCCCGCTAGAGCAAAGCAGACTTTCAGACTCACTTGATGTTAGGAGTCTGTTCCTTTCCCCTTTCTCTTCCCAAGCGGTTTTCTTGTTTGTGTTGGCCAACCTGGGATATTCCCAAGTCCACCTCTGACTGACCACTGCCTCCAAGCACACCACTGGCCTCCAGCCGTGCTTCCCTGTCCTCCAAGGTGGTCCCAGTGCTAGGTCCCACATGACTAGCTGGTGCTGTCACGGCAAAGACATTGCACAGCCCTAAGCATTTTTGGAGCATCCTGTAAGGGATGGTGTGGAGGAGGGAAGGGTAATCATCACACCTCCAGCTCATTCAGAGCTAATTCCTCAGTATCCATGAAGATGGAGCCAGCCCTGCAGCTTTTACTGTTGTCTGGACTGGCCGGGGATCCATGGGTTGCTTTTAAGGCATCTCCAAAAGGTAACTGAGCCCATGGGAAGAGCAAGATCTCACCCCCCTGTCAAGCCCTACCTCTCCGCAGAAGTAGAATATTTTTGATGACCTGTACATTTAGAAGCAAAAACTCCTGGTGTGGTTTGACCTCTTGCTCAGGAGACCTTGAATCACATCCCTGGTCAACCGCAGACTCGCTCTGCGATCCGGATGAGTCATTTCATTTATCCCATGCTCCGTTCCCTGTTTGTAAATGCTTGAGACATAAACGTACCAGCGACTGTGGAATGTCACAATGCTGCCAGCAAAGACATGTAACTACTTGGATGGGGAGATGGTTTGGGCAACAGTTAAATATTCTGGTGAGTTGTAAAGGGACCTGAGATGGTGTTGAATGAAAAGACATCTACTTCCCTCAGAGTCACCCCAAACTAGCTGCCTCTGTGTAAACTTGCCTCCAGCAAATGACTCCTGACATCAGGGCAGCATGATGAAGAGACAAAAGGCTTCTAGATGTGTACAAATGCTGTAGTTAAAACAAACAGACACCAGAAAGCCCTTGCCTTTTGTTCCTATGATTGCACCAGCAATTAGGGGAAAATTCTCCCGGGCTGGACCGAGATGTGACATAATTTCTGCCTTTTGTTGGACGAGCGAAAACATTTTGCATGGCCTGAAAGAAGTTTCGTTTAATTTCGTCATGATTTCCCCCGGTTTAAAAGTGTCTTCTAAAGCACAGTGAAAACACTTAGATGTCAAGTGTTTTATGGGAAGTGTGGGAACTAAATGCTTTGCTTTGCTTTTTTCCCCGAAATTCTCCCTTTCTGTGGTTGAAGACTTTTCCTAAGTTCAGTGCACATCGACCGACAGTGTTGCTGCTGAAATGAGCCTTTTCCTCCAAGTATTCAAGGCCTGAGCAGCTTTTCCTGTATTCCTGCTGGTTTATTTTCATAGAATTATGGAATAGTTTGGGTTGGAAGGGACCTTTAAAGGTCATTTTCCTTCATTAGGGCTTTGGTGCAACGATGTTGTTTGAGATCCCTGCAGTCTAAAGCCGCCTATTGCGTTTGAACCAGGTGATGATGTTGATATCCAAATCCCGGTTTGATTTCCTAAACTTGGCTGGAGATGTGGCCATGACTCAACAAGCGTGTTATCTAAACACGGGCGCTCCGGACTCTAAGCGTTGTGCTGACTTAACGCATCTCCTCCCAGCATGGCTGGGAACGCGAAAACTTTCTGATCACGTCGTCCCACCCACAGAAAAAGAAAAAAAAAACCAACCCCCCCCCCGAAAAACGTAACCATGTATTTGGTAATGCAGCGGGAGGCATTGTTAAATGTGTGTGCGTCTGTGCATGCGCATATATGTGATTATATCTACAGCAGCTATAAACCCACAGCACCCTCCTGAACCTTGTGGTGTGGCAGGCAGCGGTGCAATGTATTTGAGCGATAAATCAGAAGCGGAGCGCGTTCACAGCCCGGGTTCGCGGAGACAGCGCTGCCAGGTCTTGCTTGCAATTTGTCCCTCCTCTAGACGGGAAGGGCTGTTACGAGATGGCTCTCGCCTTCGCCCCAAGAGGGGATCAGATGTTTGTCAAGTCTTTTGGCTCATGGTTGCAGTGATGTTTGAGGTTGTGCTTCAAAACCTCCCTGCCTGGGCAGCCGTTTGTCCCAACTGCGGCATTTAGGAGACAAAGTCTTGCTGAAGACCAACAAGCCATACGGGACCTCCCCAGCCCACATATTTATTGTCTATAAACCATGCTGTACAACCACCAAAACCCCTGTCCTCCCCATCCCTCCCCCAGTGACTTGTTGTTATTATATTTTTTTTTTTAGCCCTATCCATCCCCTGATCTGCTTCCCCATGTGCTCAGGAATCCACGCTGGTGCTGGGGAGGGAGGTGGGACGAGCAGGCTCTGCAGGGACGGCCGTGTTTTTCGGTGGAAATGCCAGTTGAGCTGCGCGTTACGCCACGGTCCAGGTCCCTAGGCACTTTTGGAAATAGGTGTCTGGGCGATGTATTTAGAGGTATTTAAACATCTGAAGATACCAAGAGTTGCTAGTGTGGATTTTCAAGATGCCCTTAATTGCCCGTGTCCTATGGGAACTTCTGAGAACTTTGCTAGACAGCTACCAGCACAGTTAGATGCCTCCATAGTCATACAGATTTTTGAACATCTTAGGTGGCTTTAAAAAGTTGAAAACTAGTAAAAAAAGGAATTTCCTAATTAAAAATTTAAAAATGAGACATTGTTATTTGATAAGCAGGCTTCTGCAAGACAAAAGGATGAATGCATGATGGGTCATAGCTTTATTACTGCATGTTTAACTCATAAGCTAATCCTTTCTTAGTATGGCATCAAACCCAGAGTATTCTGATCAGCTTCTGCCTTTCTAAAATCTGGTGACTGCTTTCAAATAAGCTTAAAAAGGATACCTACCTGTGCTCTTGAAGGAGGGCTCAACACAGCTTGCAAGTGTGTATGTCTGCCAAAAATATATTTGCATATAAATACTGAAGTAAGCCAGGCAGCTGAAAAACATGCATTTCCTCAAGTGAAAGTTATTGTGCCCTCTGTTCTCCTCTTTTCTATGTGTCTCTACAAACGAGGTGTGCTCTCCAGCATCCTCTGCTTAGCTAATTGCATGTAAATAGTTACAGGATTTATTATGTGGGCAGCATGATTTTGCACGCCTCCTTCTCTCTGTCTATTCTCAGAGCCATCTGTCCGTCTGTCCACACTTCCCACCGTAGCAGCTGGGTTCCTGATGTCTTCTCTGGCTCTTCTCACAGTCCCGAAGCCTTCAGAAAATCCTAAACAGATTTCCCATCTGTGATATTCGTGGCATTTCTTCACTGGTGCTGAGACTATCCTAACATGAAGACTCCAGGACTCACTTTCAGTAAGAGTTTTGTCCAACAATAAATAAATTTCCAGTGCCAACATTGCTCCGGTACCTTGTTTCTGGTAAGGTTTTATTTATCGAAAAGACGCAGAGCCTCATCAAAATGCAATTTGCTGAGCCCTGGCTCTAGATTGAGAAACTACTTCTCAAAGCCAAGGGCAATTTTCCATGTAAGAAGACGACTAAGGGTGTAACATAGGTGTGTTTTGGGAATTATGAAAGCCATGCTACAACTTGGCATGAACTACAGCGCTTGCCTGCCATGGGGCTTTGGAGTGAAAGATCAAAATAAAGATAAACATAAGCAGGGAAACAACCACAATGGATGAAAGGTGAAAAAAAAAAGACTAGTATATCCTAGGGAGGCTGTTACTATACCGCAAAAGCATAAGACTTCTTAGTCATTGAATGCTACCATTTGGTAGACACAGTTGTATCTTTTTTAATTTTCTCCTGCATTATAGGGTGTGTTTCTGGGTAGGGTCAATG